AATAAGTTGTGCGGATGTTTGTATCTAAATGTTGTTCGGAATGAGTGATTGATAGGTTAAGTTAAGGAGGAATGAATTCAACAGGGTTTAGTCATCACTTACCATTTAGTATCAGATCGTTTGGTTTAAGCGTATCTGATATTGAATATCTCAGTACGTTTTCTTCAACCTGAAGTTCAATCTCTTAAGGTAAGAGCTGGAGGTTATCCCCTTCTTTCACACACATTTATTCGGATCACTAATCTATGTTACGCGTATACACGCATGCCTGTATTAATTTCCCATCCATTCTGACAATCAGACTAATTGATCGCCTTAGTCATTTTCTCTTTCAAGCTTTATTTGTTTGGTGATTCGTTAAATCTTAGTTGGCGACCTGTACGCATTCTTGTCTCCTTTTTCCTTCCTGATATTTTTAATCATCCGTTCCGTTGTCTTTTTCGTGTGGTAGCGACTGATCGCGGAAACTAATGCGCGTTTGGAATCCATGGAAGAACTGGCACAAACTGCTGCGCAGCCAGCTCTTCGTCAACTGGAGTCTCTTCAAGCTCATCTTGCCGAATTACAAGAGGATTGGAATCGACGCCAGTTCAACCTTAATCAGCAACTCGGTAATGTCGTAATCACTAATTTGAATTCTCCAGAGAAGCGTTTGAATTTCATATAATCATACTCTGGCTACTGTGCCTTTTTAAGTAGTCTGTATATAAATGACAATTTGTATCCACTGTGTTCCAGTCAATATCGACGTCCAAGCAATGTAATTTCAACGTTGAACAACTATGTGCTCGAAAACCAGTTACTATCTTTCTGTTTCTCCATGTTTATTTCTGTAGGTTTCCTTTTTGATTTACCATGTCTTGATACTGTACGTCATTCTGCAGCGCCAGTTTTATATTTGACTACACTGGTGTCAGTTGACCTAGTGACAAGTTCATAAGATTTTCTCGTTGGTATTAATTGCCAGTTACCATAAAATCACATTTGCTTAGAATTAGTGTATCATCACATATCGTATTCCATACTATCATTCATGCAATGAGTGGAGCTAGGTTTGACGTTAGTTTAGTCTCCCACTGCCGCAGTTAAATTCGTCTCTACAATTTTTTTTTCAGTTCGTTCTTGTGTGATTTTTTGTTGATGCTGAAGGTGAAGCAGTTTAAGTCCTTGTCACTGACTGGGACTTAGTTTTAACTATAGAAAAGCCAATTTTTCATTCAGACCATTTTTTAAAGTTTTACAACTGTTTAAGTGTATACCCGAGTCACCATTTTTGTTACTTTTCCTAAATTGATGTAATTTCTGTTCTTTGCAAATTTGGTGTGCCCCGGTTAAACCGCATTCTATCTCCAGGCATTATGCCCCTTCAAACCTCAGCTACAGTCGGTTGGTCCATTTGACCACTTTCACACTTTTCTTTGTTGTTGGCGTCACCAACTGAGGCCGATCGATACATTCAGTATGGGCAGCAGTGATATACAATTGAGGCTGTTATGACTCATAACTTTAGTGGCTTATTGAGCTCATCGCATAGTGTTATGACGATATTCATGAAGTAAACTTGCATAGTTCGAACTGTACTCAGTAAGCAGCGCGTTCGATCTTGGTCGTGCATGTTGTGATAAGTTTCGTTGACTGAGCCGTCAGTGTCCTAGCTACTATGAGGCGTTGTGCTTTAGCTGTAAGTCATCCTCACAGCAAATTTCACCCCGATATTCCAATGGACACGCGTGCTCCATACTGAGATTTCGGAGCTCCCTTCCTACTCTCGTGTGAATCATTTTATGAGTCCGCGTCGGGCACCTACACCAAATTAATTGCTTACAACGGTATCTTGGACAGTTGAAAAATTGCACTTACGTTTATCGGTTTTCTGCGGAAGTTTAGATGCTGCTTGCAACACGGTGAGCGTGATAACAGAAAACAAGGATTAGCTAGCTAATCCTCACATTGGTGATGTAGGTAGAAGCTGGACGAGTCAGATTTATTTGTCACACAAACCCGCTAGTTCGAACAGTTGTACAGTTTCCTCAGGTGTCGATTCAAAATATTCAAAATATATCATTTTTTTATCAGTGAATTCTCATTGCGCATCATCGGAGACCATTCCGAATATGATGGGTTCCCGACCAGTGAGATCGTTGAGAAAAGCGAGCAATTAATCGATAAACGGGTCAAATTATCGTTTGGCTGTTCTGCAGGGGATATCCCGACTTTTCAGTTTTTAGTCTACCACTGCCAGCTCACTTTCATGGTAGGCAGCTCTGCCATCACCGGGCTCAACACTAAACCTAATTCATTTAAGTTTTATTTTGTTTGTTATTCTCGGTCTTTGGATAGATAATTCTCAAAAGTGAGCAATTGGTCTTTGTTAGTATCTGTTCGATTCAGCGCTTCATCACACACAAGTGTTCTTTTCACCGCGGAATCAATGTGTCCGGTAAACCATCGGGTTTAGTTTACGCGCGTCACATGGCGAGGTCGACGTTATCAATTCAAGATATATCGGCAATCTATCTGAACTTCGCAATGTTTGGCGGCTAGTTTTCTTTTATGAGCTTACGATTATTTGATCTATCGGTTCTACTCAAACTTGATACAATTTCCTGTTAATGATTGTCAATTGGTGATTGCTGAAAGCTCAAGAAGATTCACCTGAATCGGCACGGACAATCGTTAAGTATTCAGCCTTTACTGCAATAATACCTTGATTTATATTTTATGAAGATTGTTGCATCGTGATTTGTTTGGTACAATATGGATGCTGACACCTGTGAAATATGGCAATAACTATTTATCAATGACCTAGCATTTGGCTTCCCTAACAAACAGTAGAGTGGCGAAAAAGCTCTTTTTTACACCACAATATACATTACTACTTGTGAGTAAAATTGTCTTAGAAAAAAAATTCATCACAGATTACTCGAAACAGTTCCATCGTGAGCCAGGAAATCGGATTCACCGTAATCAAATAGTTGTTTGTCCACGTATCCGATCATCGAGCTTACTTGTGATGTGGCTTTATTTTATTTTCCCAAGACAGTTTTATTTCAAAATAATGATATATATTCTGGTGTATTCGCATGAATAAAAATCACCGAAAACGAGCTTGTCCGTCATTCTGTTGTTTTATTTGGCTTTCGTTTTCCGGTAGGAGTATTCTCCGGACCGGTTTAATACCAAAGTTGTTTCATCCAGACCATGTATAGTTCGCAGTTGCCTGCACTTAGATGACCGTACCCACTCACGGCAAAATCGGTCATATCTTTCGTGGACGTGAATACACCTATCAGGTTTGCGGAAACCATTTGACTCAAACACCGTGCTCACCGTTGCATAACAGACGTCTCATTTTCTGTTTCATAACTAAACTACGGAGACGTGTTGTTCAATACTTTTTTGCAGAACAAGTCCACTTTCTTTTCCCAGGTGTTGGATGAGAGCTATATACATATATTTTTATATTTAAAACCGGCTTGTAAACGCCACAACGATAATAGCATTAATAACAATGCCAATAACGTGGGGGCAGGTGGGTTGAAATAAAGAGCAAAGTGGAAAGAATGTGGAACAGTTAAAATAGAAAAAGTGGTTAACTGGGATAACAAGATATTTTTTGTGTTTCACCGTATACCTTTTGAAATTTTTTGTATATATATATATATATATATATACAGTGGAGGAAAGGGCGAGCACTGAATGATAGTATTTCTTGTAACGTTTCGATCCAGACTAGGACTCATTGTCATTGTGAATGAATTAGGTTTGCTTGTGCCTCGTGCCGTGATTTGCGTCACACCTGTTTGCCCATCAATCACGTGTTCCTCACTGGTTGTACAATCCTTGCGTAGTATTTATCAATTTCAACGTGTCGATTGATTGGGTTGGGTGAATGGAGCGGTTCAAGCATCAGACGCTCCCTTTTCCTCTGCCCTGGCCACTACTTTTGCGTCGTTGATTCTAAACTCGTGACCTGTCATTACGCTGTGGTTCCAGAGGTGTGACTTCGAGTCAGCGTGTCGCATTGCAAGTGTGTTTTGTGTAGGCCAGTGCAGAATTGTTCCCTAATTTATCCTGCGTAACGTGGATCACATTCTAGGCACGGAATTATCTACACCTTCCCTGATTGGTCGTGTGACTCTACGTGGTACTTGCCTTTGACCAAAATTGACCGCACTATTGTTGTAGGTTTGTGGTCAATGGTAACACTCAGAAGGCGGAAGAGGCGATCAACAGCTTCCGATACCCCACGTATGTATGGTACTAAGAGTTTCGTTTTCTTCTCTTCATCCTTCGGTTTTCTTCTTCCTCTAAGGCATGGTCAGACGAAACGTCTGGGATATCTATTTGTACGGAACTGATGGAACAAATGCGTTCGTTCCTGATTCCGTAGTTCTTCTGTGCTGCAACCTGTGTCCACACGGCAGAACAAAGTGTGCACACAGCTTCTTAGATGACACGTGAGATGATTACTGTCGTACTTCAGCAACTGATCGTCTGTTGTCGGTTTCCTGTACCCAGTGGTTTCTGTGTTTCCGTCTGGTTTTCGTACGATAAGAACGTCTAAGAAGGGGAGTCCTCATGTCGTTTTTCTCCTCGTAGGTAAATGCTACCCCTGGCACAGCCTGTTTAGATCATGGAATTGATCGATTCTTGCTGCTGGTAGCGCTACCAAGGTACTGTTCATATATCGGATCCAGAGACGGAGACGGTATTATTCAAATGATTTGGCTATATGTTTATAAGTATAGTATTGGGCGTGTATGTATTATGTGCGCTCTGAACTGCCGTACGGGTAAGGCTGAAATATCTTTACAAAAGTAGTACAGACAGAAATAGAAACCAACGGGTTTTCATGTGGATGGCCATTTTTTGGCCGTTGGTCGTTCATGCCTATGATATTTATTATACTTCTGTTCGTTGTATTTATTCAGCGCTTATGTTAATTATGGGCTGATATCTCTCTTCCTCTTTTACCCGGGTTCAATTTCGACCAACAGCGGAATCGCAGAAAACTGCTGAAGTTGCCTCAGAGTCCGAACGGGTTACTCGTCAATTGCTTTGTGTAACGGAGAAAAATATCAACGAATTGAACAGCAATCTGACGAATTTACGTGCAGAGAATCAACGTCTGCAGGAGCGTTTGGATACAATGAATAAACAGCTTCTATCCGAGCGTCGAGAAAAATCAGAGTACGTTTCTAAATCTTCAACTGTGCCTGGGCACAAACCCATGCCACTCACATGCTCAATCCTCGTTACCGTTTCACACAATATTGTTGTAACTCACTGGCAAATGTACCACAACATATGAACAAAAAGAAATCTAAAAAATGTGTTCATAGGTTGTCTGTGCATGTTACTTCCCAGTTGCCTTGGTCGAGGAAGGAGAATAACCTCCGGGTCCTCACCGGAAGCTTTTGGCTAGAAAACCAGAACTGCAAGACATCAAGACGGAGCTCAGAATCCGCAGTCCATTGATGGCCGGTGTCCAGATCATTGGATCATACGCCCTTTGTACAGGGTCTAAGGTGCCCAATACACCTCGAGGCCCAGTAGAGCCGGTGACCACTGCCTCAACCAGGAAGGTGTGTGTGTGTGGTTCGTACGTCTCTTCTTGGTTGGTTTAAAATCAAGGTTTTTAACCAACTGCACTAGATGAATTGCCAATGGTTCACCAACCCGGTAATAGCCCCGGATGTCGGCTTTTCGTCCCCTCACTTTGGTGGGAAAGCACCTCCGCCACGAGAAGGCAGTAAGTAGGGCTTCCTCAGCAGAGTCTATTTGAGACGCTTGGTTATATAGGAGCATTTCGCAAAGTGTAATGGAATGGTAACCAGTCGTAATCCCACACACATACCCCGATCATACGGATCTAATTATTTTCCGGGGATAAGTATGTGATTTTCTCTGGAAGTAATTTGACTCTCTCCCAGAGTATACATCAAGGCTGCTATCAATTCGCTTTTTATCTCAAACTGAACTCGAGACCTCGCAGGTTGGCAAAACGGTTCACACTCAAGGAGTAAGTAAACAACTTCAACGAAACATGGTAACACGTGCATCTAACATTGTTAGGCGACAACCATTGGCCCTTGATGATTATCAATTTTAAGTCTTCCGTGATATTCTTCCTATTCATCAACCTTTTCGTAGAACCAAACATCAACCGCATCGATTGGTTGGTACTTTTTTTTAACTTGCGGTTGCCGTTTCTAGTGTGACGGTGAGGTCACCTAAACAAAATCATTTAGTTTTTCTAGGGAGCGGTTTCATAACCGGGGCCTTCAGCTTATCGAAATGTGGCTCACAAGAACACAGGGTGGCATGTGAAAACTGTAGTCCACTGGGGACCAGTGGTCAGTCAGTCGATTCGCACCCTCTTCAGGAGAGCGAAGTGAGTAATATATACCCAACAAATGTTTAAAAAGACACTCCATGGGAGAGTTTCTCTGGTGGAGGGCAGTGAAAAAAGCTTATAAAATGTGAAATTATATATCACGGTACACTGAGTCATAGAACGATGGGAGAGAGGACAGTTTGATACATTAGTAAGGTAAATCTAAGGTAACACGAAGTTCTTTCTGTTGATACAGTTTAAGTTTCCATGGATTGATCGTTATCACCATCGCAAGGCGTAGTAGCCACAAGCTTCGCAGAGATGATTATGAAGTAAAATAGGTTGGAATGAACTGTTTCACAATATCAGATCCAAATTTGGAATGGATGTTATTGAATTAATTATGCGTCATGCTCATAATATTAGATCCGTGAAAGAAAACGTTTGGATTAGCCATGACGATGAAAAACCAAAAACAAGTTTATTTTATTTTTTTTGGTAACGACGTTTCGACCCTCTTGGAAGGCCTTTGTGATTTGATAAATGCCTTCCAAGAGGGTCGAAACGTCGTTACCAAAAAAAACTTCTTTCTGTTTTTTTCATCGTCATGGCAAATCCAAACGTTTTCCTTCACGGATCTAATGGAATGAACCGTATATGATATCGGTTCTATCCTAGTAATATGTTAGACTGCTTCCCCTCAATATATGTCACCCAGTGTACCGTGATATACAAATTCATTTCGTTTCTGTAGTAAGCATCTCTG